GTGTTTCTTGCCACGTCGGTAGCCTGCATTACTGGTGTGAACTGCAACTGCTTGCTCTTCTAGAGCCCTTGGGCTGTGCATCTCCTTGCCATGGCTTGGTCACTGTTGATATGTCCGATCACGCCACCAGGAATGAGGTAGCAGATCTTCTGGTGTAGAGCATATGTGATGGCTTCGATTTTGCTGATCCATGGTCGGCCCAAAATCCCGTTCTAGGGAGAGACCTCGTCGATGACCATGAAGATTTGCGAGCAAACCACTGGGGGTGAGTGGACGTCTAGGTCATTTGTTCCAACAGTGATTGACGTGGCCCCATTGAAGCTGGTGAGTGATCTGGCTAGTTTGCTGATCTTAGGTTCCAATCCCATCTGTTGGATAACAAATAGTTGCAGGATATTGGTTGCGCTGCCCTCGTCCACGTGAACTCGCTCGATCACAGCTTGTTCAATTTGGATGCTGATAACTAGGGCGTCGTTGTGCGGCAGATCAAGCCCGATCAAGTCCTTCTTCTGAAAGCCAATGATGGGTGTATCTGCAATGACCGGTACTCCCGTTGTGACTTGGGAGATATAAGTCGTCTGCACGATCTTTCTCTTGCGCTCCTTGGTGGTCAGCCCGGACTCCTGGGAGTCAGCTAGAATGGTGTTGATCCTTATGACCTTTTGGGGAGGTTCCTTGGCAGCCGCATCACGATCCTCGATCTGCTAGATGGCCTTCTTTGCGACGAATTCTATGCAATGGCCGTCTCTGACCAGCTCCTCAAGGTGCCTTTTCCAGGCGTTGCAGTTGTTTGTGTAATGACCATGCTCCCCATAGAATGCGTGGTATTTATTGGTGTCCTTCCTAAAGGGGTCTCCCTTCATGGGTGGTGGTCTTCTCACCCACGGCTTGTCCTTCACTTGTGCCAGGATCTGGTGGATCGGGATAGTGAACTCAGTAAAGGTCCCTGTTTCTGAGCCTCCCTCTTGGGGTTGCGATCTGCGCTTGTCTCTGGCTTTGGGCTCGAACTTGTTGCTTTTTTGGCTTGCCTGCCTTGTCGGGTGATTAGGCCGGCTTTCTTCGAAGCAATACGATCGTCGTCCCAAAGTGCGTAGCGCTCTACTATCGCGAAGACCTCTGCCAAGGTTTGGCTTGAAGTTATGGCTAGCTCACGGTATAGCTCATGTTCGGTTGGCAAGCCTTTCTTAAAAGCTGAGGATGCCACTTGGTCATTGCATCCTATGATGTTCACCTTCTCAGCCTTGAACCGTCTGAGGTAGTCTCGAAGGGACTCATCTGGTTTCTTGTGCAGGTTGAACAAGTGGTCTGCATGCTTTCTGACCGTCCTGTAGGAGGTGTACTCCTTTGTGAAGATGAGGGCGAACTCCTTGAAGTTGCCTATTGACGCGGATGGTAGAGTGTGGAACCAGTCTTGAGTTGCTCCTCGCAGAGTCATTGCGAACACTTTGCACATCAGGGTGTCGTCTGCCTTGTACAGAATCATGGCACTCTTAAAGTGCCTCAAATGGCTCTCAGGGTCGGACTCTCCCTTGAACGGAGTGATGGATGGCGTTGTGAACCGCTTCGGCGGTGCAACTCGTTCCACCTCGTCTGTAAAGGGTGAGCAGTCGACTCGAGCAATTTCCTTGTGCAGGGCCTCATCCGTGCTTCCTTTAAGTTGGAGACTTTGGAGTCGGTCATTCACTAACTTCTCGACATCTTCTGCCCGCAGGGGGAATGGTTCGAGTCGATGTCTTCGGTGTCTCGAGCGCCGCTGGTTAACTTCCTCCTCGGTTCCCAAGGGTCGATCCCTTTGGTTGTTCTGCCCGTGGGGCAGATTAGGAGATTGAGCTTGTGAGGAGTCCTCTACGGCTTGCTGCCGTGTGTTGGTCCTCAAGCGGGCTGGTGAGCATCGATCGTTGCCCTCGTCACACGATTGCTCACGCACCCGAGCTCCTTGTGAGCCCACCCTGGATTGGTTACTTCCTTGTGGGCCCAAGCGGGCGTGGACATTGGACTGTGGGCCCAGCCTCTCATGTACATTGGTCCTTGGACCTAACCTCGAACGGATCGTTGACCGGCTCAGAGTGCGACTTGCAGATGTCTGCGTCTCGTCAGCACGATCTCGTTCTCTCCCCTGCCCGTTCGCCCCTGTCTGACCAACTTGGGATCTCTCAAACTGCTCGTTGGCATGCTCGTGCGTTCTCCTCTCCTCGTCACGGGGTCCAAGGTTAGGGCCTTGGTTCAAGTTGATCTGCCTGAGTAGCTGGCCAATTAGGTTGTTTTGATCGTCGACTCTTTGTGTGAGCTGATCAACCCGTGAGTTAAGGTCCACCTAACCAGAGATGTGCATTGAGCCCAATGGCATATGGGCTAGGGCTCCATTAGACGCATACATAGGTGCATACGTCAAGCGTGGTGGCAGAGGAGGGAGAGGATGGATCTGCTCCAAGACAGGGGAGGCGTCAAAGTAGCCATGGGGCTGTGCAGCAAGTCCGGCAGCTGAGTGGTGTGGCTGCTGTTGTGCTACGACGGCAGGATGGCGCGGCAAAGCAGCTCCGGCAGTTAGCGCTTGAGGCTGCAAGGCTGTACAAGTCACAGGACCATGTGGCGGCTGTTCTGCAATTCC